TATTGATTTTTGTCTTTATGTCTATTATGGGATTTCACATATACCAAATAAGGTAAGGTATGTGTACTTCATATCACATACAGTCATCAGCTTGTGAATGGGTTGACTGAATTTATCTAACTTCAGATTTTTTTGTACCATGGACCAGTAATTTTTGTAGGATTTTTAAAGGCAAGTCCAGAACACTAATTATAAAATTTTAAAGAGGCCCAATACTGAAAGATATGGTGGGGTCTCCAATTTTAAGCAAGTCCCAAAGGAAAAGCATGAGTCCAGGAAAGCTGAGTCCATAAAATCAGTGTTGTGACCTTACTTCATTTATTTTTATGTGGTTAAATAGATTCTAATAAATAAACCTGTAGTTGTCTTTGTATTTAAAGATCTAGGATATTTCCAGAAATTTAAAAATTAGGTAAGCATTCTGAATGAATTAGAACCATAATGTACATAAAATCCTACTTTAAAGTGTTATTTGTGTTGTAAATCAGTAAAATATCAACTCCAATGATTAAGGATGAGGTGGAAAACAACTCGTGACAAACTGATTAATTGTATAGGATGGTAATGTTTGTTTTGTGAATATTATATTTCTATAACTCCCTGGATTCTGTTGCTATAGAATAGTGTTCAACACAAAAGTGATATATTTACTTGCGCTTGAAAGCAAAAAAATACATATTGTTTCATTTTGCTGAAAATTAACATGTAAAAATTTTTGATGATTTCCAAAAAAAAAATGGTTGTCTTTATTTGCATTAAACTATTCATTCATGAACATATTGAAAACACTAGCACTGGAAAGATTAACGAATTCACAAGAACACCAACATATGGAAATAAACACGTAACCATAATGGGAGATTCCTACTTGGAAAGTGGTTATTTTGAGGTCAGACACTTGAGACATTAAAACAAGTGTCAGTTTACTTGCCAACTTGTCTGGTATACATTGGTATATTATGAATGTTTGGCAGTGATTGATTTATCATGTCTGTATGCAGAAAGAACTAGCTAGGACAGGGAGAAAGTGATTTGCAAGGTTTGGTTTTAATTGAGGGAAACACACCTGGTGAGGGAAAAAAACCCAGTAAAGTGATGCTGTAGACTATTGTAGCTAGATCTGCCCTAAATAGTTATGACAGGAATGAGGAGAACTCTTCGTGAGGGAATTCATCATTTGTGTGGTGGGTATTTTTATGGTAGATAGTGTTTTTGTTTAATTAGTAAAGCTAGGTTTTACAGGTACAGCTGTAATGGAATCCTGTCAGATTCTGATGGCAGTTAAAATTGATGAAGTTTTTCTGTTCAAAGTTTATCCTTAGTTACAATTGAACAGATCTTAAATCATAGGAGAGTATGGTCCATTTAGAAAATTAAGGGATAAAAGATTGAATTTCATGTGCCCTCAGTCTCTCCGCAACCTTTCTGCCTGTGCCCTCAGTCTCTCCGCAACCTTTCTGCCTGTGCCCTCAGTCTCTCAGCAACCTTTCTGCCTGTACCCTCAGTCTCTCCGCAACCTTTCTGCCTGTGCCCTCAGTCTCTCGGCAACCTTTCTTCCTGTACCCTCAGTCTCTCCGCAACCTTTCTGCCTGTGCTCTCAGTCTCTCAGCAACTTTTCTGTCTGTGTCCTCAGTCTCTCCGCAACGTTCTGCCTGTGCCCACAGTCTCTCAGCAACCTTTCTGCCTGTGTCCTCAGTCTCTCAGCAACCTTTCTGCCTGTGCCCACAGTCTCTCAGCAACCTTTCTACCTGTGCCCTCAGTCTCTCAGCAACCTTTCTGCCTGTGCCCTCAGTCTCACCGCAACCTTTCTGCCTGTGTCCTAGGTTGAAGCACCCTTCTATCTACCTGTGTCCTAGGTTGAAGCACCCTTCTATCTACCTGTGCCCTAGGTTGAAGCATCCTTTCTGACTGTGCCCCAGGTCTAAGTATCCTTCCAAGCTGTACCAGAGGTCTTAAAGCATTCTTCCTAGCTGAGCCTGAGGTCTAAGTTCTTCCTTCTACTGGAGTTGATCTATGTGATAGTAAGTTTTCCCTCTCTCCTGTCGCTCCAATCTGGGCATGTGTCTGACACTAATCGAGGCATGTCTGACAGGGTAGAATGTTTGTATTGGGCCAGTTGTAGTTCCAACCTGAGCATGACCCCATGTCCAGTGTTTTTCCTAACTTCCTCCTTTCTGGAGGTTGTTGAGTACAGTGTGTCGGGTTATTAATGGTAGACAGGTAAATGGACACTACAAGATCTATTAATTTTTCGTGTCCAGATGTGTGGGAGACAGAGCTCATGACAGCTACAGCTGTACTTGTCTGGGTGGTCATGTGACTCAATACTTATAACACAACAACTCAAACCACATATTTGTCATTTGTAGCCTAAATGTTTTCTCCCTTAGCTTAAGTGTTATCAGTATCTGCCGGGGACTGTAACTTCATACGCCTTTAGACTGGCACACTTTAGAACAAGATGTGGGTATTACTGAGATAGGGACTGTACAGGATATATAGTGTGTCTAATTTTAAATTGTTTCTGCACATAGACTTAAAATTTACTGGTTACATTGGATATTTAAGGTGATCTGGTAAAGACAGTGTCTTACACAATTAGGCTGTGGTTGGCCACATCAGTAAATACAGTGATACTTCACATCTAGTGATGTTTAAATTCAGGGACAAGCAGATAACAGCCATCAACAGATAACAGTAAATCTCTTGTTAACTTGTACTAGGGCACAGTGACCTTCATACTCTAATGTGTAGAAGAAGTAGGCTGGCCTTAAAAATTAGTTGTTGGTTAAAACGAATGCTTAAAGCTGCCATGAAATTTGAGTATCGTTATTTGTGAGATGCAACAGTTTTTTTTGTATCAGTTTATAATGTAGTGCAAGACATGTCTATAACAAAGAAACTGATCAAATGTTTGGTCAGGACAGACATGTCTGTAACAAAGAAACTGATCAAATGTTTGGTCAGGACAGACATGTCTGTATCAAAGAAACTGATCAAATGTTTGGTCAGGACAGACATGTCTGTAACAAAGAAACCGATCACATGTTTGGTCAGGACAGACATGTCTGTAACAAAGAAACCGATCACATGTTTGGTCAGGACAGACATGTCTGTAACAAAGAAACTGATCACATGTTTGGTCAGGACAGACATGTCTGTAACAAAGAAACTGATCAAATGTTTGGTCAGGACAGACGTGTCTGTAACAAAGAAACCGATCAAATGTTTGGTCAGGACAGACGTGTCTGTAACAAAGAAACCGATCACATGTTTGGTCAGGACAGACATGTCTGTAACAAAGAAACTGATCACATGTTTGGTCAGGACAGACATGTCTGTAACAAAGAAACTGATCAAATGTTTGGTCAGGACAGACATGTCTATAACAAAGAAACTGATCAAATATTTGGTCAACAAAGGTAAGAATCATGCAAGTTACCAAGTTAGTTAGGTGTTCAATCACACTGCTAACATGTATAGATTTTAGATTAATAAAGCTGCATGGTTTATTTTTAATCCACAGGTGATATTGATAGTAAAAGGACGATGCTTTACTTTACAGGAGGTGAAGTTAAAGGACGATGCTTTACTTTACAGTAGGTTAAGTTAAAGGACGATGCTTTACTCTACAGTAGGTTAAGTTAAAGGACAATGCTTTACTCTACCGTAGGTTGAGTTAAAGGACGAAGCTTTACTTTACAGGAGGTGAAGTTAAAGGACAATGCTTTACTCTACCGTAGGTTGAGTTAAAGGACGATGCTTTACTTTACAGTACATTAAGTTAAAGGGCGATGCTTTACTTTACAGGAGGTGAAGTTAAAGGACGATACTTTACTTTACAGAAGGTTAAGTTAAAGGACGATACTTTACTTTACAGAAGGTTAAGTTAAAGGACGATACTTTACTTTACGGGAGGTTAAGTTTAAGGACGATGCTTTACTCTACCGTAGGTTGATTGGGTTTGCTACAAAGGCATTGGTGAACTGTTTGATTAGACAATAACTAAATACTGCCGATAACTGCTGATGTCATAGTACCGGTATCAGTGTATTATGTATAGGAAGATGTTGTAGATAGCAGATTTACAAGTAGTCTCTTTTTATCATCATCAGCTGTACGTTATAGTAATTGTACATGTATAATGCATAAGGCTTGGCAATAGCCACTATTGCTGTGTAATATATTATCATACAGTTTTTCTAGTGAGGAAAGCACACTCCTTTATTTTCACCTGATCACATTTGTCTTAAATAGTGACCTTTACACTGATGTCTGATACACTTTCTGCATCAGAAAGTAAATATTGTTGTGAAATGATTACTGTATTATTTGTTCCTTCCTATTCCTTCTCAAAAATTGGTGGTGACAAAATGGAACGTCCAGTTAAATTTTGTCTGTAAGATTCCTATTTATGTCAAACCAGGTGGGATAAAGACCTTCAGGAACACCTGTCATCAATTACATTGTTGCTGTGGAAACTTAAGCTGTGAACAAACAAACCAAGCCCTCGGAAACCTTTGACAGTTTTGAACTTGTTAATATCCGTCAATATTCATTATTTGTACTTTTATACACGGACTGAGACACTAGAATAATCATTATTATGTAATATAATGTGTATTAGACAAATTTTGTAAACACTACACATATCCATGTCTATTTATTAATCACTGACTATACATCACAATATACATCTATACTACATTTAATCCAAGATCACAAAATAATAGTTTGATACCAAATGTCCTGGTATAAATTATGTATGTGTGTTATTGGTTATATTCTGTGACACTGTTCTTCATGACTACACTGTTTGTAACACTATTTTTGTTTTGCACAAGTGGTCATGGATTTTTGTAGAATGTTGGAAAATGTACTAAGGTAAATTATTTTCATTAAAGTTTAAAAAAAAACTAATTTAAATTGAAAGATAAGATTCCATACAGAACAAAACATTGATGAGATTTTTATATCTTTGTACTTTTATGATGTTGTAGAACTGAGGAAGGAGAGACTTATGATAATCGGGATTACTACAGTAGTGGAGCAGGAACCAGAGACCCCGCTCAGTTTGAAAACCGATTTCCACCCCCCTTTAACGAGAATGGCCAAAATCAGACACGGGGTCGCCCGAGAGAACGTTTCTTCAGAGGGGGATTCAAGTATGTTTTGCAAACAACACTGATTGTATATTTTGAAATGTTCATTAAGATATATGCAAGAATCCTTTGAAAGTTTCCATCACACCAAAAAGTTGGGATGAAAATTAGTACAGAAGTTATTGATGTGACTGATTTCCGCCATTTCCATGATCACTTTTTTTAATCTTTTAAGGGGAAATCATGGTCAGCGACAGTTTGGATCACGCCACATGGAAGGTCATAGGTCGTTTGACCATTCCCCGATGGAGACACGAGATGCAGCGTTTGAACGTCCCAAAACTCAGCCCTCCCCTACACATTCAGCTTCGCGATCAAGTCGGCACAGCTCCACACGCAAACAACGCAGTTCAAGGTCAAATTCCAGGTCAAGGTCAAGTAGTAGCAGTAGCAGTTATAGCCGGTCGTCTTCAGGCAGCAGTGATTCAGGCTCCGACTCCCACAGGTATTTACATTAAAAGACAATATTTCAAGTCTGGCAATTTCTGCTAACCTAAAACTAATGTATGAAGGCAAGATTTATTGTTCTAAACATCATTATCTCATCATATACATAGTTACTGAGAACAGTTTGTTACATGGTTTCACACAATTTACCATAATTTGCCTGCAATACGCCTAGTATGTCAACTTCATTAATTACATTGATTTATGATTTTACAGAACAGGAATTTATATGGATTGTCTTATTACTGAGCATGGGCTTATATCTGAGTAAATGCCAAACTTTAGTAGTTTGATAACATATGGGATGGTTTTAATCTATAAAAGTTTTATGTATGAGATACCTGTCTTGTGTTTAGTACAACATTACAAAATTGTACTTACTATAACCTGTTTTCCTAGTAGTAGGAGTAGTGGTCGCAGCAGTCCAAGACACCACCAGTTACCCTCAACGGCAACCATACCTCCTCAGGCCAAGTCCCATCGCACTGAGTCCCAGGACTCCTCTGCAAGTGACAAGTCAACAGAGCGCGACCCACTTGACAAACGGCCTCATGGGATATGTATCACAGCCCTCCCACTGCGCTCCAGTGGTAAGTTGTATTTCTATAGACATTTTCAGGAGTAGCATTTGGTGCTAGGCCCAAAATTTGATATTGATGAGAAACTTCATTGATGTTACACAATTGTTCCATTAAGATTAAGATTTTATGAAATTTACACAATATAAAGTGCTGTTGAACTCTTGCAGTTGTGTCTTTAAACAATTTAAATTTAAAATCAAAGATAATTTTTCGATTATCTGCTAGTTACAAAACAAAATGTTACTTTGTATTACAGATACGAGTCTGAGAGACGGCCTTTTCCATGAGTATAAGAAGTACGGAAAGGTGAATGCTGTACAAGTAGCAGGGGCAAATGAAGATAGATACGCCATCGTCAGCTTTAAAAAGTAAATAGCAAACTTAAGTAATGGTTTTCTTTCAAACCGTATTTAGAAAGCACCTGTTGTATAAACTACCTGTGTTAAGAGACCATTTGAGTTCAGATACCACCCATGTTTATGGACCACCTGTGTTGAGAGACCTTTTGTGTTGAAATATTCTATATAAGGGATTACATTGTTCAGGGACCATCTGTGTTAAGAGACTTCTTCTGTTTGGAGACAATATTAATGTAGAAATACATTGGAAGATTTGTCACTTAAGACATCTATATTATTACTGGAAACTGTAGACCACCTGTCAAAGAGACCTTCTATAATAGGGACCACTTTGATAAGAGACCACCTCTGTTAAGAAACCCCCTAAGTTTGATACCATATGAATGTACATGATCATACTGTTGATATTGTAGACCACTTTGTTAAAGAGACCTTCTGTAGTAAGGGACCTTAAAAAATCACCAAATACTGATAAAACTTGTATCATTTCTGATGAAATTGTTTCTGAAAAAATCATTTGTCTTTTAAATATTGATATATAAAATCAGTTCTGGAATATTGTATATTATGTAAAAATTGAAATGAGCCCAACATAAACCTGAAATATTTTTAATATCCTCTAAGACTCATGAGACATGATATGGCTGATACTTACAGAGCAGAAGATGCTGAAAAGGCCTATGAAGCTAGCTTGGACAAAACATTCTTCGGGGCTAGAATCAAGGTGCAGTCACACGAAGGGATAGGTAATTATCAAATTCTAATTACAGATAATGAAATTGTACACTTGTGTTAAGGCATTTATGAATCAAATTTAGTTTAATTAGAATTAACAGATGTGACGTGTTATAATTGACTTCTGGAGATACAAATTTGTGTATGAAGGAGGATTCTGAATTTACCAACATCAAGAGTAAACGTTTGATGTTTATGCTGTTTAGTGATGTAGTAGTGAGAAAACCCTGCCTCGAAATGACCCTGATTATTCATGAGGCAATAAACGCACAGATATTGGATCATACTGAGGACTGAATTTTGTTTTTCACCATTTTAATTTGTAAAATCTGCTAAAAGTTTTCAAACTTAGGAAAAACTGTTTCTTTTTGTGTAATTTAGGTAATTGTGTCACAAATCTTGTAGAATTAAAGACATTTCTTAATGCATAATCTGATTTTCTGGTTGATGAAGTTTCATCAGTGTGTTTTGCATCTGGCATTTCAGCGGATACTGAGGACAACGAGTTCCGACCTCCAGAGGCAGAGTTAGATGAATACCATCCAAAAGCTACCCGCACATTGTTTGTGGGCAATCTGGAGAAAGACATTACCACGCAGGAACTACGAGACAGATTTGGAGAATATGGAGAAATCATAGTAATTATTTATCCTACCTCAGTAGATTCAAACTAACTGTACATTTTAGACATGCAGTCATTCCACATGCCATTTCATTTGATTCATCAATAAGCAGTACATATAAATAACTGATTTCCTTTCTTCTGGTTTTACTGCAAATAGTATGTAAATACACATTTGTAGGTACCAGGTAATTGATGATGTGTTAGAATTCTATGGAGAAAACATTATAACCCAGAACGTAATATAAGACAAGGTTAAATGAAGGGGACAAAAGAGAAAAGGCTGTATTATTATGTTATTTTCTAGTTTTACATATCGTTATATAAGACAAGGTTAAATGAAGGGGACAAAAGAGAAAATGCTGTATTATTATGTTATTTTCTAGTTTTACATATAGTTATATAAGACAAGGTTAAATGAAGGGGACAAAAGAGAAAATGCTGTATTATTATGTTATTTTCTAGTTTTACATATTATTACATGAAGTATGTCAGGACCTTAATGATGTCTGTTCATTTCAGGATATCGATGTCAAAAGACAAGGAGCTGTCTCTGCCTATGCGTTTGTACAGTATGCTGATATTTCAAGTGTGGTTAAGGCGTTAAAAGAACTAGAAGGACAAACAATAGGTTCTATGAAAATTAAGGTAAGCTGTAGGCACTCACTGTTTTTCCTGTCATTAACTATTTCATTGTATGTTAACATTTTTAACATGTCTTGTAAATTACCTTCCTTATCTAATTGGTGATGAGTTTGATGGAAATTTGATCTTCAGGAATTGAAATTCAGTAATTGAATCATACATAAGTATTGAAAGTAACCAATGGAAAAAAAATTCAGTTTTCTGTTTTTCAATAAAAATTAATTTGTTGATTATCATTAAAAATCAAGTATTATTATTATCAATAATTGACTGTCAGAACAAATTTCAAGACTTGTTTTCAGAAGATTAAAGTTTTGTGTTTTGTATGCAATATTGGTAATTTTCTGTACCTATTGTAAATTGTAATTGTACCTGTAAATCATTCTCTCTTGTTTTTCCAGCTTGGCTTTGGGAAGAGCATGCCCACTAACTGTATATGGCTAGATAATTTAGCTGAGACAGTCTCTGAGAGCTTCTTGTGTCGACAGTTCAGTCGCTATGGCAATGTAAGCCATGGCATAATTGATAAAAATGGTGGGAAGGCATTGGTATTTTTCACCAATATTGACGCCGCACAATTTGCCCTCAATGAAATGCGCAACAGAATACTTAATGGCAAGAAGATAATGGTAAGTACTGAAGAATAACCATGATTGACTGTCTACATATCAGCAAATAATTGAAATCACACAATCTCTTGAAATCACACAGTGCTTGTTAAAAAGAATTACCAAGAATTTTGTAAAACAAAAAATATGTGTTGTATATATTAAAACACTTCCGAAGAAGAAACTAGCATAAGCCATTTTCTAATTTTTCAGACTGACTTTGCTAGCAGAGACTGTCAGAATAGGTTCTTTGAAAAGATGGAAAAATCTGGACAACTTCAGCCTGGTCAACGTCCTGATGAGAGGCGGGGTTGGATCAACAATAGGCCACAAGGGTCTGAGGGTGGTCAGTGGGCAGAGGGTAGTTCTGTTGGTGCCACGGGAACAGGAGGAACAGCAGCAGCAGCTGGAGCAGGAGGGGGAGGTGGAAGGTAATGAAATGCTCAGGTCTCACAAAGTTAAAGGAAAGAATGTTTTCAGTTACTGTCCAAGGGGGCCAACATAAAAATTAAGTCACAAATTAAGGAAATGGAGTTATTGTAAGACAGTGAAAGAGCACATTGTTAACCATTAGAAGATCAATGTTATCAAGGTGAAATAAATAATGTTGTGTATGCAAGTAATTTTTGAAACCTGATTTAAGGGTTGATATCTGAACCTAATTTTGTGTGAATTTTATCCTTTGCAGGACGAGAGGAAATTTCAGACCATTTGGGAACAACAGAAGAATGCGTGGATACCATCGAGGAAGTGCCTCCTTTAGAGGGCGGGGTCAAAGCTTCAGCAAGGAAAACTTTACAGAGGAAGGCTTCCGGCGCCAGAGGTATGTAGCTTTGGTTTCTTGTCATTTCATCTATCAGAAACAAATACTTTTGTTCTTTTGTATATTCCTTTATAATTCCCTGATTAAGCAAGATTGTAAAAATTGCTTTGATAGTGAGGTAGCTCAAGTTATAACAAGGCAGCCTGCAATGTCTTTAAACAGGAAACAAAATTGATTCTACAAAGTTTACACTCTAAATTTTATTTCATTAATCTTGACAACTGACATTGATTTTTTGTGTTACAGGTCATACGAGGACTACAGTCAGGGCAGTGGTGGTCCTGGTAGTACAGGGACACCCTACTCCGAGGGAGGTGAGGACTCGTTTGAGCAGGACCTACGGGCGTACAGTCATAGTCAACGTGAACGTCGTGAGGCAGGTGGAAGCCAGAGCCCCAGTCAGTACTCGGATGAAATGTATACAGAATTATATCGGCGTAACAGTAAAGACGGCCGTTACTCGGAACGCACTTACAAAGACAGATATTCCTTGGATTATCGTAGTGAAAGTCCGGGTAGTGATCGTGCATCGGGATATCATGAGGATTTACGATACGAGTTTGGTGGCAAAGGCCGCCCTGAGGACAAATATTTTAACCAAGAACGGTATATTCCTGGTCGTGACAAAGACCAAAGTCCAACAGGGGAGTATGGACATTATTCTCCTGAGGGGCGTAGTTGGAGTAGATCCCCCTCATATGGACGCCAACACAAGGAAAACTTTGGCAAACACACTCCACCCACACCTTTGGGTGATGAACTTGAAGACTCTCAAGATCCAGGTCAGATGGACACAGAAGGTTCACAACATCATGGCCTGGATTATAAATCAAAATCAGGAAAAATGGATGACTTTGACATAAGTGAAGCAGATATTCAGGAGATTCGTTCAACTTACCCAAATAGGAAAGATTCTCAGGTGAAGCGTTCTGAGGGTAGAGTAGTGAAAAAACGTTCTTATGATGACACGTTTCATGGACAATATGACATGAAATTCGATCAACGTCGTGGGCGTACTCATGCAGAATTTAAACGGGATTTATTCCAGAAAGTACAAGAAATTAGTGAAAAAATGTCGGGTAGACATAAAGAGTCATCAGGTAATCATAGCAGTCCAAGTTCTTCTGCGAGTACGGAGTCAGAACACGGCTCCCTGACAGAGGGAGAACTTACCAAACTTCAACATGAAAAACTCCAGCTCCTGGAGAAACTTAATCAGTTGGAAAATGAGGGCAGTACAAGTGATAATGAATCTGCAGACATTGAGGACACGCGTAAGGTAGTGACAAAACGTCCCCGCCTTGACCCCTGGCAGGGTAAGGCGGGACAGCGGCTTGGTAGTGTGATAATAACGGCTCGTAAGAGCACTCATTCATCAGATTTCCAGGATGCATACAAAGTGGACAGTACACAAAGTTATAGGAAACAAATGGAAGCCTTCCGAAAACTTGAGGAACAAAATGTGATAGAAGAGGGACATGGACTTAAGGACATGAAAACCAGCAAATCTGTGATAGGTTATGATAGTGAGGGTGAGGATGTATCAATGCTTTTATCTCCGCGAGAGATTCCCTCTTCCTTCATGAAAAAACGGAAAAAGTATGATGGCCCTGATGAAATCGGTTTAAAAGGACAAAGGTCATATCGGACAAAACGTGGCGGTGATGAGGATGACCATGCCAGTAGTGATAATGAAGAAACTGGCAAAGGATTTAACCGGACAGACTCTATTGTGTCACTGCGGAGACTGTCCAGTGGTCACTCATCACCACGGACACCGGTAGTGGCACAGTCTATGGACCATTATAGGTATAGTGAATCTGATATGTCAGCAAGTGAAGGCATGGCAACTAGTTCATCAAGGAAGAAGGGTTCGGCAAAGAAATTGTCTGAATCTGACGGTCAAATAAATGTTAATCGCAGTCATAAAGAAGAACATCAGCTGATTATAATTCCACTCGGTGATGAGTTATTACCAAATTTAGACTTGAAAGATCCGCGTCAACAGCGCCCCCATGAGGAGGAGCTAATGTCACTACCTCTACCACGATTTGCTAGTTACACGCGTCCTTTAATGATTCAACCAATCCATCTTGGTTCCCCAAAATATGTTGATATTAAAAACAATGATTCTCCATGTTTTTCACCTCCTAGTAGTGGAAGTAAAACTCATTCACCACAGATGTCTCCAAGTGATTCTAATTCTGGGGAATCGCAAGGACTTCCAAAAATAGATGCGAATAATTACTTTCCGCCTGAGGAGGAAGTGTCGCAGTCAGCGGTTGTGTCAGCTCCTGGGAGTGAAAATGAACAGGAGAAAAGTAAAAAGGAGGAAGATAATTTGTCTGACAGTGACAATTGTCCAGAAGATGGAACTGTGGCTACTGAAACGTGTCTAGATGATTTATCAATAGAGGAAAGAATTAGAAGGCTTGATGAGAAAATGAGCCGGCCTACACCTAATCCACCTAATAAATTACCGGAACAATTAACAGCAATAAGTATTCCTTCCCTATCATCTGCTAATGCTGCTGTACCCAATACAGACATGTATTCTAAATACAAACGCCGCAAAAAGCAGGATTCCACTGGATCAGTGCCAGGGGATTCAAAGGCAGAGCCATCTGAAATTGTGCGAACTTTATTGTCACGTAGTAGTATATTTGATCAGGATACTCGCAGACTTGAGCAAATTAATGAAAAATATTGCCCTAAGTCTGTTCTTGTGAACACAGATGAAAACCCTAAAAGTGGGATGATACGGACAAAGGCGGCAGCAAAGGAAATGCCACTCTCAACACTGCCCCAGTCATTAGCTGCTAGGCTAGGGTCAGCTGGCGCAGCCTCGTTTCCAACATTGTCGGTTAACACAAACATGGCAAACCAGCCAACATCACATCTTCCTTTCATGAGCCCTTCACCTAACTCATCTCCTCGGAGTCCTTTTGCCGCGCCGGGTAGTGTTTTATCTGGCGAGGTACCGTCCCCATCCACAACCAACCCGTATGATGGTACACAGACTCCTCCACCCACGGATGATTTGTGCCCTAATGAACTTGACAATTTTGAGGACATGTTTCAGGAACCTTCATCAGCATGTGTAACAGACTCGCCAAATTTTACTTCGTCCACCTTCCCTCAGTCCCACTCTCTGTCTCACCCATCCATGAATGAGGACAATAATATCTCGTTATTAAAGTGTTCGGACAGTCCAAGACTGACCACTTCTTATACTGGCCAGTCTGGTCAACCACCAAATGATTCTCTTAATAATTCAGTTGAGGAACATTCAAAACCACTCCTACAGAACAGTTCAGAAAGTGTGTCGCTTCAACCCTCGTCAGATGATGTAAAAGTTAATGTTAAGGATAAATTGTCAGATAACACTGATTCAAAACAAAGTACAATTGTTAAAGAGGAAAATGAAGATAAGGATTTGGTCAGAGAACAGCAATCTCAGAATATATCGAACATTGATGGAACAAACAAAATATTAAATGCTGATGTAAAAGATGTTTTGATGCCTGAAACATCTGTTGCGGAGGCAATGTTTAATACTGATAATAAATCCGATTTGTCTTCATTGGGAAAACGGAAGGCTGAAGAACATGTTAATGATAATATTGTAAAGGTTGCTGAAGTGTCAGTCAAAGTTGAACCTACGATACCGGAAGTTAAAGTGGAGGACACATCAAAATCTCCTGAACTGAAAAAACCCAAGATAGCTGTCGAGGAGAGCAATACGCCAGCAAAAAATAAAAGTGAGGTTGTGACAGAGAAGAAAGATAAGGAAAAGAAGGATAAAAATAAGGAAAACAAGAAAAAGGAGAATTCAGATGGAGAGATTAACACTATCAATCACAACAAAGACAAAAGTGAGAAAAAGGATAAAGACAAAGACAAAGCTGGAGGCAGTGGCAAGTCCTCAAAGTCTGTATCGTCAAAGGTCAAAGACGATAAGGTCAAGGACAATGCAATGCCATCTGCTAAGAAGGACAAAGTCGCTGAAAGTTCATCACACAAACACAAATCTTCCAAAACTGATAAATCTAAGGATAAACAGAACAAGGACGGACACAGTAAGAAAAGTAAAGACCATTCTTCTACAAAACCGAGCAAGGAGGACAAGACAACAAATAAAGTAGAGAGTGCGCCTAAATCCACAGAAACAGACTCGGCCCATCAGGAGAAAGCTAAGACTAAAGATGGACATAAGGAGAACACTAGTCAGTCAAACAAAGACACACCGACTGAGAAACCCACTAGTCAGTCCGGACACTCTGCCAAGAAAAAGGACAGTAAGGACGGTCAAACTGGACATTCTAGTAAGTCAACAAAAGAATCTGTGAAGGATTCGGTGAAAGATACGCCAAACGCTGTCAAAGGCAAGGAGAGTGGTGAGCCAACTGTGGCTTTACCAAAAGAATCCAAACCAAGTCCTGATAAGCCGGCTAGTACAGACTTGTCCAAAACCAAGGCTAAAACAGGGGACGCTTCTAAGCATAAACCATCGGAAAGCAAACACAAGGATAAAACAGGAGGTGAATCTCATAAACATAAAGATAAAACACAAGGGGATACTAGTAAACATAAAGACAAAGGTGCTGGCAGCGATACCAACAAGCACAAGGAGAAGCCATCGACAGAAGCCACCAAACATAAACCTGCTAGTGAATCTAAACACAAAGACAAAACGCCGTCGTCAGAGTCAAAGCACAAGTCGAGTGACAGTTCAAAACACAAAATCAAATCAGCAGAGTCTAGTCAAGCTAAGGAGAAACCTGTTGCTAAGGAGACTGAAACAAACAAAACTAAGGATCAGAGTAATACCAAGGATACGGACACAACAAAACCTAAAGAGCAGTCGGTGGAAGATCAGACCAAACACAAGGATAAAACGAAAACATCGAGTCATGTAAAAACTAAAAAAGAGGATGGGAAAGCTAAAGTTAGTGCTACAGACAAGTCGACGTGTAAGGAAAAGCCGAGTGGGAATGATAAAGACAAGGACAAAGGCCATAAAGACAAGAACTCCAGTCAGCCTAAAGGGGAGAGCAAGGGCAGTGGCCATCAGGATGCTAAGGTAGAGAAACCAAAATCTACTGACCATCACAGCTCCAACAAAAACAAATCCTCAGAATCCACAGACAAGAGCAAAGATGGGAAAAAGCAGGAGACGTCAGAAAATAAAGGTGATAAGGGGAAAGATGGAAAATCATCATCAGAACAGCATGATGATAAAGGAAAGGTGAACGAGTCGGTATCTGATAAAAGTCACAAAGCTACAGAGAAACAACGGCCAGAGAAGAAATCGAGTCTCAAGTGTAGTAACTTTGATAGAAAATCTGAGAGCGAAGAATTCAGCTCCGAGAATAAAAAGGAAGGAAAAAAGGACAAATCTCACAAACTATCTGTTGGGAAGAAAAATAAAGATAAAAACAGTGCTTTAAAACCTGACACTGAAAACAGTAAACCACCCCCTAAAAGTGACTCCGATAAACACAAGAAGAACAAGACCCCAAAATCAAAAGAAATAATGGAAAGTAAAGTTGCTGAAAAATCAGATAAATCTGGTAGTAAATCGGACAAATCGGATAAATCGGACAAATCAGCAGAGAAAAAACCAGTCGAGGAGGTGGACGATTTCAATTGGGCAGAATGGGCTGGTCCATATGTGTCAATGTATGACAAGGTCAAAAGAAGGTCAAATACCAAGGTCAAGGAGAAGGAAATGGACGACATGAAAAAGAAAATGGACAATTTCAAGCAAAGGCGGAAAAAGAGGAACAAACATAGTGATGACTCGGATGATGGTACTTTCACCTCCGATGATGATGATGATCCTATTGTGTCAAGGAAAAAGAAAACATCCACGAAAGAAGCACGCAGAAAGCGAAAGAATACTATATTTGACAGTTCAATGTCGTCGTCAGATAATGAAGAAGAAGAAGATGATCCACAATTCTTTCTGAAATCTCTCCAGAAATCTGGTCCAAAAGAGATCAAAGGTCGTGGTTTCCAACAGGGAAAGAAGGCATCTATTCTAGACATTTACTCCTCAGACTCTGAAGAAGACGAGCAATTCTCGGACCCACTGTTCAGGGACATTTCCAGTTCAAAGAAAGACAAAGAAAATGTAAAGAAGAAGGAATTAACAACAGAAAGTTCGGAAGATTTTTCATCCAAGAAAGTGAAAGTTGTAAAGGCATCAAAGAAAGAAAAACAACCGATGTCTGCTAAAAAAGTCAACACAAAACGAAAATCTGCTCTCAGTTTCACATCAGATGATAAAGATGAGGATAGTGACATGAACTTTGACCTCAAACCAAAGAAGCCATTGGCGAAACTAAAGAATAGAAAAGATGAGAAAATATTACCAAAACGTAAGATATTCTCTTCGACATCTGGAAGTGAGATGGATGATGATTATAGACCTCCAACTGTATCAAAACCAGTCAACAATAACAAAAAGAGCACAAAGGAGAAGAACAATCAGAAACATAAGAAAGAGGGCAAGATGAATCCTCTAAGTCTCTTACAATCGGAAAGTGATGAGGATAATACTGAGGAAATGAAGCATGCTGGGTATATCGATCTTGTAAGGGCACAAACTATGTCTGAACTAGAGCTGGACGAAACCACAAGTTTCAACAGAAAAGAGAAAAGCACAAAGGAGTCTGGGAAAAAAGAAAACATTCTGGTGTCTGAGGGGAAATTAGAGATTGGAAAACAAGTAGACAAGAAGGAAGAATCTTTTGGATTGTTTGCCAAAATGGAAGATTTCATAAGTGCTCAGTCGGAGTTAACAGAGGGTCCAAACAACATGAAACATAGTGTCAATCAGAACAAAAGTAAGAAATTAAATATGGCTGACTTGCCGAAAGTACAGCAGACCTCACCAGACAAGATTAAAGTTCACAAGAAGGAAGGAAAGAAGAAGAAGAAAGATAAAACTGAGATTAGTAAAAAGGGCAAAGAAAATTCATCAGTGTTGGAGAAGAGTTTGTCATTTGAGAGTGTTAGCACTACTAGAGACAGTATTGATATAATAAGGGACGATTTCTCCAAGAAGGACAACTCTGATACAAGTACCGACCAAGCAATACACTTCTCGGAAACAGAGATAGCTGCAGACTGTAGTGTGTTGGATGGATATGATCTAAGTGTGGGTGCAGAAGATAGTGTCAGCACCAACTTGAATTCAACACAAGACACACAGAAAGGAATGGGACTATTTGCAAACTGGCATTCCACAATGGAGGACATTGCTCGTCAGGAATCCGCAGCAACAGACCCTCTCACTGGGGAGTCTGGGAAAAGCAAAAAGGGGAAGAAGAAGAAAAAGGACAAGAAAGAAGGATCAGAATCAAAGAAGAGCAAAAAGGAGAAGAAAGATAAAGGAACGAAAGAGGAGGGTAGCCATAAGAAAGAGAAAAAGAAAGTTAATAATGTATTTGGAAATTTCAACAAATACGTGGAGGAAATATCAAATGAACCTACGCATGTGAACGTCAGTGGAGATAAGAAATCTGTCGTTGAAAACAATCTGGATGCTGTCAGTGAGAAAGTTCAAAATGAAACCCAACAAGCAACCTCTGCGTTGGAGAACATATTTTCTGAATCGGACAGTCATAAGGACCCACTGTTTGGCACTACCCCTTACCATGAACCACCATTGTTTGATGCATATCTTAGACAAGAAGCTGCTATGGCCAACAAGAAATCGCAGGATAAAAGCACAAAGGTGGATCAGAATTCCCCTACCAAGGGAAAATCTCTCTTTGGAAAAGTCCTCAGTACTCCAGAGAAACATGATAATACCTGCCAGGAGAAAAGTAGTGTGTTCAGTTCACCGGACCATACCCAACATAATGCTTTGTCAGATCAGTCTGTGCAAAAACCAAACAAGAATCATTCCTCATTGGTAGAGAGTAGCGACAACAAAAATAACGAGGTGTCAAAGTCTAAACCATCCGAAGACATTTTTGGATCTAGGCCTGAAACGTCCGTGTCCCAACCGAAGGGTGTTTCTGGGCAGAAAGGTCATGTTCCTGCAGCTGATATATTCGAATTCACAGAAGATGACGACAACTCTGACATTATACCACCAGGTCATTTAAGAAAGAGTCGATTTGAAGGAGGTGAAAGGAGAAAATCCAACAGTCTATCAATGTCATGTTCTGATACAGAAACTCAGCTTACAAAGGAAACACCAAAACATAAGGATGACAAACACAAAGAAACAACAGAGCTTGGAAAGTCAAAGGATTCCAGTTATGGTAAAGATATGGATTTTGGGTTTAAGGAATTGGAGTGTAGCATAGGGAAGTCAAGTTGTAAAGAACAGGAAAATAGTGTAACAAAATCATCCGATACTGATATCAGTCGACAGAAGGATACTGACCTGGTGATGGAAATCATCAGAAAAGAGGAAAAGAAATCCAAGAAAAACAAAACTAAAGAGGTTTCTGTGAAAGGAACTTCAAAGGAAGATGTTGTGGAAAAGGATGAAGGAAAGAAAACACCACATTCTTTTATGAACTCCATTAAGTATGGTGATGAGGTGCTGAACTTTGATGAACCCTTGTTCCCGATCAACAACACATTGGAGCGCTTTACTGGTATGAAGTCACCAGACAAGACCGTAGACAGCTTGGATAAGCTGACCTTGTCTTCACCGATCAATAATGAATTATCCAAGTCGGGCAAGAAGAAACAGAAACGAAAGAAGAAGACAAGTGGAGATGCAGCGGTTGAAAATTTGGATCACAAATTTGACAATGTAATGAATTCTCCCGATGCTAGTAAACTTAAAACACCAGAACCATCTCCCGTTTCAAAAGCCATTGAAAGCTTACCCCTTCCAGCTCCAGCTGTTCTGCCTCAAATGAAACCTTTAAATCTACCAGAAAGCACAAGTCAAGAAGTTTCAAAGGAGGCTGAGTCTAAATCTACCACCAACACTACAACCACCACCAACACCACAACCACTGCTACAACAACCAAAGAGGTTGCCAAGGATACTGCAGCCTTAGAGGCATTAGAAACTTTAGAGGCAGTTTCAAGTCTTGAACATCTATCTGCAATTGATGAGCCAAGACTCGTTATTGATATAGATGTTCCTGAATGTGAACCAGTTAAATCTGTCCCGGAAGAACCAACAGAGCCAGTAACAAATCAGGCAGAGGATGAAACCGCTCTAGCCATCATGTCCATATTACCTCTGGACGAGAAAACTGGAGAGTTTGTTCAACCTGGTCAGGTGGCTACTGTCTCAGAAACGGAGACACCAGCGGCAATTGAATCCATACTGCCACTACCTGAGGTTGAAGTTAGTCAACCAGAACCAGTCATATCATTTCAACCGGAACCAGTCGCTAGAGAGGAGTCAAGAGAAATCGATGTTGCTGAACCAGTACCACAGTCGACTCCTAATCCATTCCCTGACCCACAAGTGTTTAATTCTCTGATTGATACGAATGCACCTCTTGTTATAGACTCCAGTGACAATGACGGTAATCTACTCATTGATACCAGTGCTTCTGATAGTGTTATCACAACTCCTGGTAAAAAACCCAAAACACCACGTACACGCAAAAGCAAGGGGCCCAAGGCTAATGCCAAGTCTTTCAATGCCATGACGGTACCACCACCAGTTGTTGTAGAACAGAATAAGGAAACTATTGGTCAGGCAACAAACCAGGCATTGCGGAACAAGCTTCAAGCCCAGAGTCAAGAGAGGAATGAACAAGAAAACATCCAAAGTGCAGGACTCCTAGTAGATCCAATACAGGAATTGTCAGCTGTAGCAGCACCCTTCAATTTTGGCTTGGCACTTCCCACACCACAAGCATCTCTTCCCACTACACAAGTGGATGTTGCCCCAAGCAAGTCACCTAAAGGTGGGGAGAAACGCATCACTCGAAGACAACTTAAGCAGCAAGCACAGCAGAACTTGGATACTACTGATGCTAATAACCAACAAATAAACAGCGACACATCTGATTTGTTGTCAGCATGCCAGATGACACCTCAGCCTGCCGTTACAGAAGACACAAGTGATCCGGCAGCACTTGGATTCTCTGACAACAGCCTTGACCTTGATTATGATCCCAACCGATTGGTCATGGATGATCAGAATTATCCAAATGAACCTAAGCGAGTGCAGCGTCGGGGAAGAAAGCCAAAGAATTACAAGGAAATGAACTCGGGTGTATTACCACGAACAACATCTCCCAGATCAAGGACGTCACCAAGGTCACCGAGAAACGTTACATCTCCTAAACAGTCATCATCTCCAAAACTACAGAATTCTCCAGCAGACATCCCAAGCCCTGTGGTGAAAATTGAGAGACTTCCGCTGACATCCAAAAATGTCAAGAAAGATGGAGAGATTGTTGACCTAGGTAAGGACAATAACAAACGGTTAGGAAAGACCAATCTTCCTCCAGTTGTTGATGTCATGCAGACTGAATCTAAGGATTTGGAGATCTCTGCTACCTCAAATGCTGAAGTACATCCAGTAGATCCAACTAATGTATTTGACTTTGAGGCAAGTGAATCAGAACCCAAGATTGAACCAGTGAGACGTCGACCATCACGCCGGAAGCAAAAAGCAGAAAGCAGTGGTCAAGAACAGGATGACAAGTTCCATCGTGAACATTCTGCTGAAAACAAATTAGAGCAACACCGACCTGAAGAGGCCAGAGTTCGTAGCCTCAGTACAGAGTCTGGAATCATAATGATTATTAACACTGGCAACACCAGCTCGATGCGGGCTAATAAGGAGGTTCGAGCGACTCGGCATAAAACTGATAAGCCGGACACAGACACCCATGTGGCAAAATCTGCCAAAAAGTCACAAGAGATTGAAAATATCATAAAACAGACAGAGTATCAGGTCACTGAAAGTCAGGACGCTTCTATTGTCAGTAAAGCTTTAGAAGATCCATCGCTGAAACCCCCAATTGTAACAACAGTCGGAACCAAACCCTCAGTCATGGAGGAAACGCCATCTGTGGAGCGGAAAGTGGTACCACCTGTTACAGAGACAGTGGCATCCACCACTTCCACCACACATCCTGTCACTACACATCGGGGCAGAAAATCGGACAAGACAGAAGGGGTACCGCCTACCACCAACTCACCGATCACACCAGCAACACCGGCCACTCCCATGAGTAATATTGACCGTATTATTGATAATGTATCAAAGGGAATCTTTGAGTTCGGGGATGTTGAGATGACTGGTCAGCACAGTGATGGAATGGTGCACAACAAGAAACGCTACCCGGGCAGGAACCATGGAACTGAGGGCACACCCAACATGATGATGGATAATTTGGGAAGGCCTCTCACAAATGTTAACACCGGTCACATAGAAGGCTTTCAACAAGGTATGATGTCTTATATTAGAGCTGAAACTGCTTAATGTGCTCTCTTGAAGCTCTAAATATTCTTCTTGACAAAATAAGTGATCTGTAATCCAGATTTGTCTGAAATATGGATTTATACTAAAGATTAGACCAGTTAGAGTAAATAATGAGGTACCATGTCAAAGAATAATAAGATCTGGTTTTTATTTTTATAATTCTTTACTTTTTCTTGGTTCAAATTCTGTTTTTGAATTTATTTTTAAGGTATCCCTTTTCAAGATTTGATTTTCCATTCTCAAAAAATAGCAAAAGAGAGAGTTCCTTGAAAATAACATTGACAATGTTTAGAAATGTATTGCTAGAACACTTGTAAAAATTTGTTTTCCAAAAATGATTAAGTATTTAGAACATAAGAATTATTGTGATAAGAATAAAACATCATATTAATACCTGTTTGTTTTTTCTCTGGTAGGGTCTATTGGTGAGCCAGCCTTAACCGTACCTTATAGCAGACAGCCTCATTCTAAAGAAGGCTTCCCTACAACAATCACTGGTCCACCAAATGCCATTGTCACCTCATCAATGAAGCCGTCACACAGCCAGATGGCAGGTCACATGGCTGACTTAGGCAGTGGGAAGACCAAGTCGGTTGACCTGTTACATGGAACACCAAAGATGTCCAATCGTCAACATACCATGCACAGTCACCACATTGCACTGTCCCCTACGCCTCACCGACAGGGAGAACATGTGGATAAACTAGACAAGGGCAAACAGGGCAATCCTCAGCATGTTTCACCCTATAACGTTGTCTCCACATGCCACCAAAGTATGGTTTCCATGTCCGGGGATGTTATGTCCTTGGCGATGACTAGTAAATCAGGACTAACTACCTCCAGCAAAGGGGTGCCCCATCCAGCCGTGACGATGACACACACTGCCATTATGCCTTCACAGGACAGTTTGCGGCAGGTACAGGACGTCATGGATCAGATCAACCGTCTACATCACAATGCGGAACAGGTATCTAAACAGAAGGGTTTGCATGCCCCTGCAGCAAATGCTGGTTACATAGCAGAACAACAGAGCGGAGAAAAGTCGGGTTCAGGTGATCGCCCAACGGTCTCCTCTACACCGAGTTCAACAACAGCATCTGCTCCCACGTGTGTAGTCCATCCTATCACCACATCAGCATTTACATCGAAGCATGACATTCTAAAGCCACCAACTGGAATCATAACAGCTGCAAATTCCTCCAGTTCCAGTGTCCTGTCATCTGTCAAAGACCCGATGAAGGGTCAGATGATGCTCCATGCGCAAGGACAGGCTCAGGTTGAGGCTACAGTCCAAGACTTGGCTAGTCGTCGCCATGATGGGAAACAGGAAACATCTGTCCTGAAATCAGTGAGTCGTGCAGGAAGTGTTCCACATCAGGTGGCAGTCACTGCTCATGCAAGCCGCGAGTCTGCCCCTCAGCGTCCACCCAGTGCACACTCACAGATACAAAAGTCTGGTGATCCACAGCCACCGCGGCCCTCAAGTGCCCATGAACAACTGACCCACCACCCAGCATCCATCCATGAACAACTGCGTAAACAGCTTCACCCGGCTGGTATGAAGAATGCATATCCACATGGGCAGGTGGCACCTCACATGGTGCCCTACTTCCAACAAATGCTTCAGCAGAAGGGAGAGTTTGAGAAGAATGCTGGAGGTGCAATTGATCTTCAGAAAATGATGGCACCAATGGGACAGCGTACAGTGATTGCAGCTAGTGCTGCAACCACTCAGGGTCCATCACCACATCCCATGGCACGGTCACCAGCCATCGCTCAGACAGCTCCCAGTCCTTTACAGATCAACCAGCCACCGTCTAGTCCCTCCCTCCATAAAAAGGTATGTTTAATGATACCACATGGATAATTACTCCTCTTTTCAATATGTATGATAAAGGTGAAAATTTAGTCTTTGTAATTTATTGAAATAAAAAAAATGTCATTTTCCTTTTAAGTAGTTAAATAATTTCTTAGAAAATGTAAGCTGTTTTGTAAACAAAATATGTTACCAAATTATTAATATTCCATTATTGTAGCCCTGTGGAATTACTATCAGGTTTGTACTGTAAATTTCAAATTTTCAGGCTGTGGAAAAGAATGCACAAGTATCTTCCAAATGGCCAGAAGATTCGAGGATGAGAGGACCTCATGCTCAGGCGACTGATATTATCCCAGCTGCTCAACGTGAGGCCTGGAGTAAGTCCCCCTCCTTATTGTTGATATAATACCATTTGGCTCAGTAATCATTAAGTCTGTCCTTTTCCATCCTGTCCTTTCCATCCTGTCCTTTTCATCCTGTTCTTTCAGTCCTGTTCTTTCCATCCTGTCCATTCCATCCAGTTGCAAAGTGTTCCAACCGAAGTAAAATCACTCCAGTAATGTCATGTTTTTCAGGATTTCTTCAAAACATTATGCAAACTTTATCCAAAAGCTCAGATGAATTGGTGTTTCATGGTTCCGATGTCACAGTTACTATTTATACTGAAACTTGTATATGTGGGACCAATAGCATTCGGGTCCGGACAAATATCTGCATGTATGATTCATTATTCGTTGAAATATTTCAGAGTTAAGGGTGAAAAATGAATGAAATATTTCCATTTTCGCTTTTTTAGTGTATGGTGTGCAGAGTTTGGCACCTGCTCATCAGCGCACAGAGCAAGGTATCAATCTGTCAACAGCACAGCAACAAAGTCCTTCACCACGGGAGACAACACACACACAGCAAGAACATCAGCAACATAGAATACAGCAGGAGTTGTCACGACGCCAACAGCAGGATGCTAAAAGTCGCCACCAGGCAGAGCTGCAGTTCTTACAGCACCAGCAGTTGCAGCAACAACAACAGGAGAAAGAACAGGAGCGCCAGAAGCAGGACTGGAAAAAACAGCAACAAAAACAACATCAACAGGACCTCCAACGCCAACAACAACAGCAACAACAGGAGATGCTACGCCACATACGTGAGGTTTCTGGCCCAGCACCTTCTGACACTCGGCAGACAGCTCTTGTGCATCCACGTTCTACTGTTCCGGTTCCTTCTACTCACAACACAGAAGAGAAGGGAGGGTCTATGGATTCCATTCTTTCATCAATGCAGTATCCATCACCTGATTTACGGCGTACTGGAGCACAAAACATCAGTGCTTTTACTCCACCTATCAGCAGTGCTGAGTTGACCCAGGGTATTGCCACCTCTCATATGTATACCCCAGGGATGGGAATGATCCGTGTGCCGCTTATTGACCCCAGTTTGATGTACTCGCCTCACAACAGCCCAGCATTCATTCCAGGTCATCTCGCCTCGCATTACATCCATGGAGGTATGCAGCCTGATGGGCGACCATCACCACACTTGACCCCACAACCGCTCCACTCACCTTCTCGACAAGGACAGGCCCTGAACCAGCCAGGACAGAGCAAACACAGTTCTCAGGATAGTATTCAGAACATTCCGGGACGTTGTGTCACAGATTCTTCCCCAGCTGGAGAAGGCAGTCTCCTGTCGTTGCTTCAGGTAAGTGGGCAAGCACATTTTAGAAGGTCTGCCACAAAGACAGATTGTTTTACTCCTGCTAATCCCATGCGCAACCTCGATTGGTCTGTTGGTTTGTTTTTTAGCCAATGAACAGGGAGGCAGTGCTCCTACAGGGAAGAGTAGACAGAGAACTATTCAGAAATGTTGACATCTGTCAGTGTTGCACAATATTTATGTCAAGGAGCAAAATGGAAAATTTTGTAACAGAAAAATTACAGCTTTGTTATATTTGGTCCATCACTAAAGAATTTCATAATATACATGTTTGTTTTTTCGTGTTGCAGAGGTATCCAGTCATGTGGCAGGGAGTGTTGGCCCTCAAGAACGACAGCTGTGTTGTCCAGATGCACCTGATTGCAGGATTCCAACAACTCGTCAAATTAAGTTTGCCACAGCAGTCGCCTGATGGAACCGTCCAGCCACTACGTATCGCCCAGAGAATGAGACTTGAGCCAACGCAGCTTGATGGAGTCATCAAACGAATGAATGTTAGTATCATACCTTCAAGTCAAAACATGTCATACCAGCAAAGTATCCCTGATTCAGAGTAGGGTGGTATTACAGGTCAATGATAAAGCATTTCTACTGAAACACTAACAGTTGCTTATCAATGGACATGGGCCTAATGGATAAGGTATCTAGCTAATAAGGCAGAAGGTAACGGATTAGTCTGTTTATATCCCATTACGTAGTGGATTATTATGTGATTGCCTTTTCATCCCATTACGTAGTGGATTATTATGTGATTGCCTTTTCATCGTCTACTCGCATAATAAAAAGCCAAATCATCAAATTTGATATGTGGACACATCATATTGAAATGTACTGAAATAATAACATTTAGATTACAGTATCTGATATTTTCTCTCCTTAAATGACTTATGTCAGATAGACAGAAAATAAAATAGTAACTGAGTTGGGATTATTCATTAGATTCTTTAAAGTTTCTGAGAAAGCAAAAGAATGTTGTCAATTATTAGTATAATTGTCTTATGTTTCTTTGTATAGATGGAGGAGGATTACTGTATGTTGCTGGCCCTTCCATGTGGGAGAGATCACAGTGACATCATTCAACAAACACGGGCAATGTCAATGGGATTCATACAATATTTACAACAGAAACAGGCTGCTGGTATTGTAAATGTGGCAGATCAAGGCTCTCAACAGGTAAACTTTAATTCGTTGGCAGTAATAATTGTTCTCTTGCTTTATTGTCTTTGTTTAAAGATTGGTTAAGTATATTTTTAAGAGTTAATTTCCTTGGACAAAAAAAGTGGGCGTTTATATTTCGTGTCAAAAAAAGTGTTCGTTTATATTTCATGTCAAAGAAAGTGAAAAAGGTTTACCACCATGTTATAACAATTAGAAATTATAGTAACCTTGCTTCATTTATTAATTTTTCAAAATCTCGCTTTCAGTTCTTTGTGAAATCAATTTAAAATTTAAAGTTTATAAGTTACCTATTTACTATTTTTCAGCCGGCCTATGTTGTACACATCTTTCCACCGTGCGAGTTTTCTCACTCCCAACTTGGTCGCCAAGGGTTCGATCTGATGCATCAGGTAAAAGACTTGTCCCATCTATTGGTCATCATCACAACGGTGGCTTAAGATCCGTGATTTTCTGAAGGAATCAAAGGAGTGTCCCATGGATTTTATACATCCTTTTTTACTGGATTAGAATAAATGTTTTCCATTGTGGATGGATACAAATTCATCCTAAACCAATGGATGTTACCAGATTGTGACTTGAAAGTTCCACTTTGGATTAAAACAGCATGCCATGAAGGAAGGGAGACAACTCTGTACGTGACAATTAATTCCAACACTGGATTTAAATGTTTGAGGATAATTTGTGGAGTTTTATTCCATTGTTTATCAACAATCATGGAACATTACATCTGGTTGTTGAGTTATTAGTGGATAAATAATGGGAATTCTCTAGTAACTGAAGGATTACCCAGGTTTTATAGTGAAGAGGATTCACGGAGAATTCAATTGTTTCAAGTTGATTTTATTGAATGATGTATAAAGTGCTATGTGTTTTTTGTCAATATTTATGTGTGTTGAAGTTGTGCTGAAAACACTTCCTCTAGAAGTGATGTTATTTATATAAACCCTTATCCATTTGAACAGGAATGGAATGCTCTAGATCAAAGACTAGAAGAGCTTATTCCAATGGATCAGTGAATTAATTATACTGGTGGTAAATGGACATCCACACTGTACATGGAGTATCGAGTTTGAAATGGGAAATTTTCAGATGTTGATTGACACACAATAGATTATATATTGACTTAAGAATTCCAATTAACAAACACATTTGTGTGTGCGTGGGTGTGTGCATGTTTGCATTATGTATACTGCTAGAGAATAGGGCAAGCCTTTTGGTTATTTTTTTAAGAAATATTTAACAAGACAAAAATAAAAAAAAAACAAAAAACAAAAAACAAAAAAAACAACCCCACTGTCCAGATGATCTGATGAAGGTTATGAGTACACACACTATGTTTGGCAGTGAACTGGCGAGTAAAACAGAGAGAATGTTGCCTGTTACTATTATATATGTTACTATGATGTTAGCAGTGTATGATTTGGATGAATTTAGGTTGTAGACTGGAATGCTGGCTGGTAACTTGTATCCATGTTCAAGATTTTGTTCTAGATTTCATTGAAAGGATACAAAAATAAAATAAGAATGAAGAGATCTTTTCAGACCTGAATTTTTACACTTATTCTAAACATTGTCTATAAGTTATTAGTACAAACTTAAATATTTTTGCCCCTTGAGAACCTGTCTGTCCTTTTTCTGTCAAATTAAATATGCTTGATATTTTTTTCTGAAAACCTTGTTCATTAGGATATTAGATAGTAAACAGGTGCTCCATATATGTTAATCTTACAATCTTATTTTGTAAGTTGTGTAACATATAAAGAGTTTTGCCAAGATTTCTTTTTAATCTCTTCTGTTACTTAGATGATTTTTTTTGTGACTCTTTAATCAGTTTGAAAGCTTTTTTGAAAATTCACATAACTTATCAAATACACAGAAAACACTTATGACTAACATCGTGGTTTTTTTTTCTTTTTTAATCCTTTATTGTCAGTCTTTAAAAATCATTTAGATTTGACATTGTGAGATTTTTTCACCTATTTATATGAAATTTCGAATGATTTTTCAAACATAACAAATTGATGGATGAAGTGCTTTGTTGAGTTTTTTTTCTTTTTAATAGAATATGTCAAAAAGCTATCAACTTAAAAAAAAACAGATATTTTTTCATATACATTAAGCAGGTTTATGTATATATTGTCAGTTACAATGAAATATTTTTTCTAAAGGATTGCATTGCTTCAGGAGTTCTTGCTTCAAATATGTAGTCATACAAAAAGAGGTCCAAGTTCATGTACAATATGTTTACACCATGTATGAAACCAATTGAGCCTACTGTAGCTTACAGAAATGTGCATAGAAAACAGACATTTGTGATTTGTAATTATACAAAAATCTTTCAAATTTTCTCAAAATTGGTAAAGCCTGTTTTTGATATGAAAGCCATTGGTGTCAATAAATATCAAACAGTTAAAGAAATTGAGTTTATCAAAATTTATATTGATGAAAACCAGCACTTTAAATTCAAAATTATTAATTTTAACGTGTTAATTCTATTTGAAATTTTAATTGCACTGATCTGAATCTACATGCTAGACTGGGTTATGTGAGAAAATTGTGCAGGATGTGTTTATGTGTTTGTGTGTATGTCTTATATTCCACTCACTGTGATAATGACAGATTTTTTGCCAGATAACCAGCATCTGGAGTACGGTTATGATGGCATTGCTTCTGTGCCAAAAGTTAGATATCCTTCTTGTTGTCTCACCCATGGCTATGGTGTATCGAAGTTGATGCTCCATGGCTTCTTGTGAGAATCATTTGATTTTTTTGCGCTATCATTGGTCATCTTCACAATGTCATTTGCCGAAGAAATGAATTTGCATCAGGGATCAGATACATTATGCCAGTACTCATATTGTTTTTCGTCATTGTCAACATTTTTTCATAGGGATTACTTGCCCTTGCTCACACTGATCAGAACGGTACTGGTCAGATCACAAATTTGTATCATTAAGATATATATATATATAATCATACTGTCAGAAAATTATTTTCACATAAATCTTCACTTCTAAGGCAGCTAGTTACAACTTCATTGTAAATACCATTGACATGATTTTTGGACAAGGACAACTACTGTTGATGTACAGGGTAGAAGTTTTCTATCTTTATTGTTAAAATACTATTATTTTGGAGAGTAATTGAGGCATAGATGAAGTTCATCTTTTACTAAATCTTAATTAAAAACATTAGCTGTACATCACTTGAAGTAAAATTTTGTTCGATTTTTTCCCTCCATTATTTAGGTTTCTATTTTTGTCCTAGTTACTGATAAGATTGCTGTAGCTCATTCAGGTTGATTGTGTTTGCTGGATTTTGTTTTGTGTATTTGTGAGTTTGTATTCCCTTGACATCAATAGTAGTTGTCTGGAGATGCGTGTACCTCCCCACTCAGTTTGGCTGGTCAACATCAGTCTTCATATTAAAGTCTTTGATAGAGTAGCTCCTTGTGTCACAGCTTGACAGTCATGTCCTCTGCTCAGGACAACTGACCACTAGACACATGGTACTTACACTACAGAATTTGATTTGAAGACTGATGTTATTCTGTTACTGTGGTAACAACATTTTGTAATATTGGAGCTTTAGACAAAAGTATTGATAGTGTGCAATGTAAAATGATCTCAATACCTTGAAGAGTTCCCTCCTATGATTGTAATCTCTACCCCCCTGTCCCCCTGCCCTTTCCCGTTGTGATGTCATGCTGTAGATATTTAACAGTGTAAATATGGATGTATATATATATATGTAAATAGCCATGTACAGACTAGTTGTAAATACATACTTGGTAGATAGTTGATCCTCTTGTTACTGTAAATGTATATACATATTAATGTGATTGACACTTGCTGCTCTGTAGAAGAGGTGTGTCCCCCCAGTAAGGACGGAGTTACTTGTACACTGTGTATATTTATATATAAATATATAAATATTGTTAAGGTGATATGCGCCAAACATGAATTAAATATTACGACTACCTGTAGAAATTACAAGGTGTTTGGTGTGTTCATGTGTGTATTGTATGTGTGCACTGTACAATAGATGTGTATACATGTGTGTGATGGTAAATGTATATTAAGGCATAATTGGTTTTGTGTATTTGATGGCTGGTGTAAATTTTTGAGTGTAAATTATATATAAACCCAGCGTGATTGTATGAGCAGAGAGTGTACAGAATCTGGATGAATGTTATCTATAGTTCACATAAATCAGTGAGATATTTTCTGAGGAGTGACTGTGGGGAAATAATTGTGACAGATGTTTGAGTTGATAACACTAATCATGTTTTCTTTATTAGATGTATTGGGAAATGGAACGAGTTCAGGATATTTTTATTATTTTTATCTTCAAAATGGTTTTCCTTCCATGCACCTTTTCACAAAGTTAAATTCAAAAGGAAATGAAGTTCGACCATTTTATTTTTTTAAACTTTGGTGAAAATATTTTCATTACATAGAAAAAGTAGAGATTATGATATTAAAAGTTTATGATGAGATCAATCAAGTTTACAAGAAAGTTTTGATTATTATTCTTTGCAATAGATATTTTCGCAGTACAAAGATATTTTAGCCAAATTCACATACCAACCATTTTCAATTAAATCCAATTTTTCCCTCTTGAGTTTGTTGTGGTTAATGTTTTGATATTTGAATTACAACATTGTAGCTATAAATAGATACGTTAATTGATACCCTCAATACTTACAATATTCACCACCCAAATCACTGCTAATTCCTCTAGGTCTCTGTTTATTATATAAAATCTATGTAGAGTATGAACGCCTTGCGGTGTCATGTCTGTAGCCACATGTGCTCTCTGTTTGGTTTATACATGAGGATCAATGAGTGTTATGTGAACTAGTTTGACTGAATGTATATTAACTGAGGTGTAAATGTGTTGTTTGAAAGAAATAGGATGAAAGTTTTCATATGGTGCATAAATGATTGAAGTCTTTGGGAAAAAAATGTTTCAGGTTTATTGATAACCCTGCTAGTTTTGCTTAACATTTTTTTAGCGTTTTTTTGACCATATTTGAAAAAAGTGTTATTTCTTCTTTATATATGTACAGACATACCAGATGAAAAACAAACTTTCCTAAAATAACATCAGTATCTTATTACCACCTGTTTGTGGATGTAAATCATTTCAGGTATTCAGGACTATTCTTACTGTTTTAATACTTTTAACATTTCCTGTCATTTTTAAGTGACCAAACCTGAAACATTTTTTCAGACTTACACAGGTGTATGTGTAGAATGGAATATTTGATTGTACAATTTTTTTCGCTTAACATTATTGGCAGCAGTTGTGATGAGGTAGCGAAAAGGTGATGTTAGCTGTATTCTGGTAGATATTGTACAGGGGTCGCATGTCATGTAAAAGTGCTTCATCATATCACAATATTCTCATGACACGACTGACGTTAATTAAATATGAAGCTAATACTATATCAATGTCTTTGTCTTCTTTTTTGTTTTGAAACTTTTTGTTTCAGTATTATAGATAAGCCTTGACACAATATCTGTTGTCATTACCCATCAATTCATCCTCAGTTTCTGTTCTTTAATGAGATCTCCAACGCATTCTGACATACCAGAGTTACTTCCCTTGATTTTTCTATAGACACACAATAAGCCATACAGCTGAGAGGCACTGGGAATGACAATATAATAGAGACAAGTCCTGTATAACTGAGTTGTGTATTGCCAGCAGCGTGGGCGAGCTTGTGTTCAAACCTACAATCCACGGTCCAAAAGTTGATGTAGTTACGTGATCAGGGTAGCTTCCATAATGAAATGGAAAAAAAATTGATGGCAGTCAACCAATTTTTGTTGGACAATCATTTATTTTTAGTGAAATGTTCAAATTTAAGTAACGTCGAAGCATCCTTGGGTGAAGGAAAGTAACTTTCTATTAATGGCGAGTCTCGGACCTCTGGGATGGAAGGGAAGTGGCCCAAGAGGGGAAGTAGAGCAAATTCTTTAAAATCTTACTTCTGTTGGAATGACTGGATTTGTTTGAACCATATTTGGTTGAAGAAGAACCAGCTTGTATAAACAATGGATGTCGGCCACCTGAGGCAGAAGAGCGGGGCCCAATATGGCAAAATTGAGCAGATACTTGCTGGTTTCTACCCCAATTTGGTACGATGATTAAAGAAGAATCAATATTTTATAGACAGTCTGTCTAATGTTCCGTCAGTAGCACGGTTCAGACAAAGTAATAGCTTAACACCTTGATTACTTTTCTCTTTTTCAGGACTCATAGATCATAGTATAAGACTCCACCGATTTCAGTTCGCGTTTCTGTACGAATACTCTCCCACAACTAAGTTTGCATGGAGAAAATTCGTTCGTTGTATTTCCTAAATCATTTCTTGAGAAAAGAAGACCATATATCGATTTGACCCGATTACTATTGAAAGCAGTGTCAAACAGCTATCGTAGGCCTATATCGGCGTTTCATCTGCCCTACGTTGACAATTCTACAGTTGGTAACATGACAATTCACCGCAACATCCCTCCTGTATTTACTTCGTTGTTTCAGTGCAATATCAAAATGCACGCACGCACAAATATATGATTTTAAAAAAATGTATTCATATACACTAAGAAATGTAGCATTTTGTATCCCTTTAAAAAGTGAATAAAAACAACACGAACGCTTCAAAGAGTTCAACTTGCTCAAACCGAGACTGGCACCTTTCTTCATACGCTCAAATGTCCTTAGTCGATGTAAACCATCCTTTGTTAGTGAACTGTTCTCATTTCATTCTCCTATTGGATGCTATAGTAACCCTTGTTTGGGAAGAAAATAGAATGATGACCTCAAAGTAATATCTTAACTCTGTGTTCAATTACAAGAGTCTTTATTTAACATCGCATACATATAAACAGACAATATTAATTCATGGGAACTGTTGTTGCGACAAATTTTATTCAGTTTGCACGTGTATTTGATAATTCGTCATCTCTAAAGTTGTTGAAGTAAGCTAGCGCAAAGATTTGGAGTTAAACTATTAAGTTGAGCACGTGCAACCGGGCCAAATTTTAATTATCTGAGTTACTTTCCGTTACTCGTTTTTTAGAAATTTTAGGAGGGCGGTTTGAATGGCGCCCAAAAGATCACTAGACTTGGATTTTCCGCAGTTATAAATGCAATAAAAGCTAATATGTCCAGCATTTTCATGCTTTTTAGCAATATTTATGGCGTGTTTTGGCTTCTATTGATTGATATATTGATCATTGATCTATTTTTCACTACAGCTATTTTTCTCCTTTTCAGTGTTATACAGGCAAAAATAATTGATATTTCACATTAGCTTCTGGTCCATGAGGCAACTTTCAGGCAAAAAAAGACGTTTTAGGAGATGTTGTTTTGTTACAAAACATATACCAATCTGTATGAAAAAACGTTGCGATTAGTTTGAGGTTAAACCATCAAAATGGCTGGATACGTCTCTGTTTTTGAAGTGGAGCGAAGGGAAGTAACTCTGTTATAGTTACAGACACTACTGCTTACTTTCACGTTCTTTCTGCTTCTTCCAAAACGACATAATTTTAATGCGTTGCAAATTTACTGCTAGATGCTATTTTCCCATTTTTTACAGGAAGATTTGGTTTGCTGTTTTATCATGACTAGAAAAAATGTCGGCTGACTGACCATTTCAAATGATGCCTTTTGGGTCTAGCGTTTTTCCAGTGCTTTTTCCATACTCGTACATTTTTGCCTTTTGTTTTCAACAAGTTCAAGTAGTACGTTTAGATATTTCATGCATACACATCTTTTTTATATTTGTTTTTTTGCCACAGCTTATTAGACCACCATTTTTGTAAGACAAATAACTTTTTAATATCCAAAATTTTTCCAGATTGGGATAAATTTTGTTTCGCTGGTTTAATATAGAAACTCCAAAATGTCGGCTAAAATCTTACCGGAAAAAATGAAGTTAAACACTAGAACTACACATACATAATGACTATAAGATATGTGTATCCCGTTAGCCACCCCTTCACAAAAATCCTTATGTATTACTGAAACACACGAGAGAAGTCGATGGTGGAAGCTCCAGGCCCCTCACGTAAGAAAGCTGGGCGGTTAAGAGGTCATCATTATGACGAATTCTGGAAGAAAAGAATTAGGAACATTACTTATTTACAATTATACACAGACCCACCGAACAAAAAAAACCCAGCGTTATGTGGTATCGTCTTATGAAAAAAAACCCAACATCACAACCTATACCCAGTGTGGTCGCTATTTCCAAACACGTGTACATACACACCCTCACCACCACACCCCCCCCCCCCTCCCCACATACCACCACTACCACCATCACACACACACACACAACCACCACACACACACACACACACACACACACACACACACACACACCACAACCACCACCACCACCAAACAAACACACACACCCTCACCCCCACCCCCCAACTCACTCACTCACACACACACACACACAAACACACACACACAGCAACCACTACACACACCACCACCACCACCACACACAAACTCTAGCAAGGCTTTTTATTAAGTGTAAGAAACGACAAATCTTTCACACTCTAACAAGACATGAATTAGTGTAAGAAACGACAATGTTATCACCCACTAACATTTTTAATGCCAACCTTTAACTCTCTCGCTTTTTAGGGGTATAAAGAACGACAACTGTTTGAATGCCTTGGATGTTTGAGTATCGACAGATCTCTTACATGATGGTATATTAAAAAAGGCAACTCTTTCACTCTTTAGGAAAAACTGGAATGACAAATGACAGAAACTACTAGTTCAGCATTATTTTTGTCCATACTTATCAAATGTTGAATAATCAAAGTACCTTGAAAATCAATTTTGCCGTCATTGTTGATGTCCGCTTCCCGCATCATTTCGTCCACTTCCTTTTCAGTCAGTTTATCTCCGGTACTCTGCAACGCTGTTCTCAGCTCTTTGGGATCAATTGTGCCATCTCCGTCCTTATCGAACATTTTAAATGCTTCCTTTAAATTTTCATGGTCTTTTTCTTTATTGGTCCGCTGTATTATTGCAACGAGCTCTTCGTATTTCAGAACGCCATTACCTTAGCGAAATACAGAAAGATCAGCGGTTAACACCGTAACAACATCACTTACTAATAATTGTCTTATACCGCTATAACGCTGTTTTACGGTTCTTCGTAAACGTCACGATTATCATGGGGGATGGGGGTGTTACGAATGTATGGATATCTCAAGGCACCAAGAGAGGAACTTTCCATCATAAATATATGTTTTATCCATAAGGTAGCACCTACCAGCCTACACTTTGCCCCTTGTCATAGGAAAATAGATTTTAGTTAAGGCATTAGTACAATTGTCGACGATTCTTTAAAATTTAAGACATATGAATACAAACATGATGAAAACCCACGAAATTCCGAGGATATATTAATACTTACTATCAATGCCTGCTTCATCTAACATTTCCTTTACTTCTTGTTCGGTAGGGTTTGTGCCAAAATGCCTCATGACATTGATGAGCTCGGTGCATGGTATGGTACCATCGCCCTTTACATCGAACTTATCGAATATCTCTTTAAGAGGATCTAAAGTACAAAAAATGAAAATGATAAACTATTGAAGATGATTTTGAAAACCAATATTAGATTATCAAAAGTCTCCCGAAAGCAAAGACGGGTAACTTTATTCTTAGAGTCAATTATGTTTTACTTAGAAAACTGGGGAATTGATCCCAGTATCTAGAGTGAACAGGATCGTGCAGGTAATGGTTATCGTTTGTATCCGTTATTGTTCAATATTGACTATGGTTTTCATAGCCCCATGAACAACTTATTTAACTGAACTGTTTATTGTTTAACTTATTTTAGTTCCGAATGTTTTACTTACACAACATCTGGAACGTATATGTTATACAACATATCTATCATACTGATTGCAAATGGCTAATGAATGATGCGGTTGAAAGCTAGTATAAGACTATCAGTCAAAGGTCCTCTTTCACGAAAAATGGAATTTTGCCCACGACCCGATTTAATCTTGATGGTGATGGTGGAGGCTTTTCGCCTCCGCGACTCTGCCGTCGCCGGGCGGAGTCCAATCGACGTACATATGTCGATTCTCTGGCGACGTCCGATTCAATCCAAACCATTTGGCATTTATAGCACCCCAATACACTCCCATGAAATAGCACGCAAAACATTCAAAAGGCCCATAGGGCCTGATTTATTATAGAATTTGTGACATTTACTGAGGGTAAGGTAATACTGGCTATATAAACAATATAGAGAAACTGCAATTAGGAATATGATATTTTAGCGGTTTACTTTCAGCGAGAAAATCAGATTACCGTGAAAATACGTACATATGCAGTATAACATTATGTATCTTATGTGTGTTTAACTATACTTCACCTTTATCTGCGTCCGTTTCGCCGGCGACTTCTTTCACAGACTGTAAAATAGATAAAGTAATAAACATACAGTAGTAGAGTGCTAGTATCATGCACTTTTAAAATTTCTGTGTTGATATCAATGGGTATCTATCATAAAAAATACATCAAAACGGGGAGGACTTAGGGCGGAGCGGAGAGGAGTAAGGAGGAGAACGAAAGCGGGAAGGGAGGAGGGGGCGGAGATGAGTAAGGAGAAGAACGGAAGCGGAGGGGGGGGGGGGAGGTGGGTGATGGGCAGAATGGAGGGCAAAGAGGAGTGAAGAGAGGAATGAAGAGGAGAATGGAGATGAGTGAGAACAAAACGGAAAGGAGTGAGAGGGAATGGAAGAGGATAAAGGAGATGAGAGGGAATGGAGGAGGATAAAGGAGTGAGAGGGAATGGAGGAGGATAAAGGAGATTAGAGGGAACGGAGGAGGATAAAGGAGTGAGAGGGAATGGAGGAGGATAAAGGAGTGAGAGGGATTGGAGGAGGATAAAGGAGTGAGAGGGAATGGAGGAGGATAAAGGAGTGAGAGGGAATGGAGGAGGATAAAGGAGTGAGAGGGAATGGAGGAGGATAAAGGAGATGAGAGGGAATGGAGGAGGATAAAGGAGATGAGAGGGAATGGAGGAGGATAAAGGAGATGAGAGGGAATGGAGGAGGATAAAGGAGATGAGAGGGAATGGAGGAGGATAAAGGAGATGAGAGGGAATGGAGGAGGATAAAGGAGATGAGAGGGAATGGAGGAGGATAAAGGAGATGAGAAGGAATGGAGGAGGATAAAGGAGTGAGAGGGAATGGAGGAGGATAAAGGAGATGAGAAGGAATGGAGGAGGATAAAGGAGTGAGAGGGAATGAAGGAGGATAAAGGAGTGAGAGGGAATGGAGGAGGATAAAGGAGATGAGAGGGAGTGGAGGAGGATAAAGGAGTGAGAGGGAATGGAGGAGGATAAAGGAGTGAGAGGGAATGGAGGAGGATAAAGGAGATGAGAGGGAATGGAGGAGGATAAAGGAGTGAGATGGAATGGAGGAGGATAAAGGAGTGAGATGGAATGGAGGAGGATAAAGGAGTGAGAGGGAATGGAGGAGGATAAAGGAGCGAGAGGGAATGGAGGAGGATAAAGGAGATGAGAGGGAATGGAGGAGGATAAAGGAGTGAGATGGAATGGAGGAGGATAAAGGAGATGAGAGGGAATGGAGGAGAATAAAGGAGTGAGAGGGAATGGAGGAGGATAAAGGAGATGAGAGGGAATGGAGGAGGATGAAGGAGTGAGAAGGAATGGAGGAGGATAAAGGAGTGAGAGGGATTGGAGGAGGATAAAGGAGTGAGAGGGAATGGAGGAGGATAAAGGAGTGAGAGGGAATGGAGGAGGATAAAGGAGATGAGAGGGAATGGAGGAGGATAAAGGAGTTGAGAGGGAATGGAGGAGGGTAAAGGAGTGAGAGGGATTGGAGGAGGATAAAGGAGATGAGAGGGAATGGAGGAGGATAAAGGAGATGAGAGGGAATGGAGGAGGATAAAGGAGATGAGAGGAAATGGAGGAGGATAAAGGAGTGAGAGGGAATGGAGAAGGATAAAGGAGCGAGAGGGAATGGAGGAGGATAAAGGAGATGAGAGGGAATGGAGGGGGATGAAGGAGTGAGAAGGAATGGAGGAGGATAAAGGAGTGAGAGGGAATGGAGGAGGATGAAGGAGTGAGAAGGAATGGAGGAGGATAAAGGAGTGAGAGGGAATGGAGGAAGATAAAGGAGATGAGAGGGAATGGAGGAGGATAAAGGAGTGAGATGGAATGGAGGAGGATAAAGGAGATGAGAGGGAATGGAGGAGGATAAAGGAGATGAGAGGGAATGGAGGAGGATAAAGGAGATGAGAGGGAATGGAGGAGGATTTAGGTGATGTGAGGTATTTGAGGTGGATAAAGGAGATGAGAGGGAATGGAGGAGGATAAAGGAGATGAGAGGGAATGGAGGAGGATAAAGGAGATGAGAGGGAATGGAGGAGGATAAAGGAGATGAGAGGGAATGGAGGAGGATAAAGGAGTGAGAGGGAATGGAGGAGGATAAAGGAGTGAGAGGGAATGGAGGAGGATAAAGGAGTGAGAGGGAATGGAGGAGGATAAAGGAGTGAGAGGGAATGGAGGAGGATAAAGGAGATGAGAGGGAATGGAGGAGGATAAAGGAGTGAGAGGGAATGGAGGAGGATAAAGGAGTGAGAGGGAATGGAGGAGGATAAAGGAGTGAGAGGGAATGGAGGAGGATAAAGGAGATGAGAGGGAATGGAGGAGGATAAAGGAGTGAGAGGGAATGGAGGAGGATAAAGGAGTGAGAGGGATTGGAGGAGGATAAAGGAGATGAGAGGGAATGGAGGAGGATAAAGGAGAGGAGGAAGAATGTAATAATTTACATTAGAAATCAACATTGAACCACACTTTCCAAGCGACAAATACCAGTGAGAAGTAAGATAGTTTTATTTCAAATGTATTGCATTTCAAAACTTAAATAATGACGGCATTTGTGTTACGTTCCTTATGAAATGTTAGCCGAATTTCATTTTATTTTCAAAAGGCAGTTTGCTTAACATGTCTTTTTTTTTCTTTTCTGAGATTTTGAATTATTAATCTGATTTTCAACGGTTATCAAAACATCAAAAATTAAAATACACCACCGTCATCATTACCCATTTATCTAAAGGATATTCTTATCCTAATTAATTAAAATCCTTTGTAATAGGTACATGCATTGATATTTTATGATATTGTTCCTATAGTAATTAAAACATTTAGAAATACCAAAGCTAATCTAGGTAGCTAAGTTCAGATATGTATAGATAGTGCATATATATTTCTAAAATAACAACCAGCACAGATAGAATAATTATGGATTACAGCACAAATGTTCTGGTTTGTAAAATAGTGTTTCACAATGGTACAACTGAATTTTAAGTTTAGTTCACAAACGGGATACGTACCATCCTTGTTGTTTAGTCAATCCTCTTCTTAATATCAAATATTGCCCTTATAGTAAGGTCTCCGATTAAAGTATACCGTTAATGTTTTAAGAGCCAACCAAATACTTTATTTGTTTCTTGAATAGCGTTGACATTTTTCATGTATTTTTGTCACGATATCAATATCGATTCTCTAAAGAATGCAAACCGTTGAACGATGTCCTAAAACTGTACATGAGTAATATGGGCTAGACACAAACAAAAAACAAAACAAAACAAAACAAAAAAATATGGGCCAGATGGGTTTAATATCATAGCTGATATTTCATATTAAACAAAGAATAATTTTGTTTGGCCTTAAATCTGAACACATAGTGATTAAAAAGCTTCTGGGAGATAAAGATCAGGATGGTAGTTCGCTCTATTAATTTACCCTTGACTACAAACATTGCGTGATCATTATACTTACAACATTGATATTTTTTTGTTTCACCCCAAATTAACATGTCCAGAAAGATTCATAATTGTTATATAAGAAGAGGCAAAAATATTAGAAAGATGTTTATTGTCTTAAAATTGTTTATTTTAATTAGTGTTTTTGTTAATAAGCTGGCTATGATTCTGAGACGTGACCTTTGATAATATCATTTTAAATACTTAAACAATAAGCGTTGATGTCTCTCTAAGAGCAACTCATAACCCTGTGTGCGAAAAGCACCGTTAACTTTACTCAATTCTTAAACATGCATATAATACTAAGAAATCAAGGTTTGCTGTAAAATGCATTTTCAAGGATTGATAATACTTATATTGATATAAAACGTAAAAAAATGATATACTTCGACAATGTGGACAAAGAAAAATACTCTTTTTAGATATTTCAGCTGAGTTAACGATACTTAAAAACTTTGGCCAATGCTATGTAAGATTAAAATCAATTTAAAAAGCATGCCCTTTGTTCTATTCGCGCAAGGTACGGGCCTATTTACGGCACAGTGGACGCCATTTTTTTCTGCAAAAAAATAATCGTGTCAGGAGTGGAAGTTATGTTGATTCAGATGTATTCCATATAATAAGTAGATGGCTAAACTTTTACAAATTCAAACATATGCTCTTTGCGAATTCGTTAATATTAGTAGTAATAGTTATAACTGTTATAATTAAGATGACCAGTCATTACTTGATATTGTAAAAAAAACCGCCTCGCGCGATCTGATATTGTTTCAAGCATGCGTGTATCGACAAACGAGCAAACGGTCGCAGCTGACATGACTAACGGATCACAATAGTATTAAAACATGTAAAACACAAGAACAGCGGCCTACAATGTGACCAGTTAATTAATACACATAGAAGCAAACACGTCTTCAATAGTTTTATTTCATGAAATGAAATTATCAATATATATATATGTACTTCAGAGCCCAATTTTATATATTGTTCGCAATAAATGTTTCTATCAATACACAGTTTAATTGAAGATTCCGATTATGTGCTGTATCAAGCTTTTTCCCAGGAGAGAGACAGAGAGAGAAAGAGAGACAGAGAGACAGAGAGAGGGAGAGAGACAGAGAGAGAGAGAGAGAGAGAGAGAGAGAGAGAGAGAGAGAGAGAGAGAGAGAGAGAGAGAGAGAGAGAGAGAGAGAGAGAGCCTGAACACTATAAACAGAATAAATTTATTTCAAGACATCTACTGTCAACTCATGTATTGTTGTGGTGGTCCATTGTCATGGTTTAGAAAAATCCTTATAGGCACTTGAGTGAGTTGATAATTAATACCACAAAACTCTTAAAAATTTAATCAATGTACTATTTGACCTCATGGGTTTAATGTTCCTGCTGTATAAACGAAAATATTTATCACATTAATCACAGTAATATCGTTCACAAACACACTCCTAGATGACACCTGTAATATGTCAGTATCCTGACACCTCTCTTGAGAGATAATTGTCACATCAGTATTATCAGGACTGTTTAGTATCTTTCAGTTTTTAAAATGTTTAATGCTACATAATGAATCTTTATTCCTCAAAGTTGCCACCAGAATCCCGACATCATTATAAATACACATGAATCAAGTGAAATTTTTATCTTGATTCCGGAATAACGCTTCCGGAAGTATCGCGACATCATTAATATTTAAGATTACGAATATCGTCGAAACGTTGTACCAGTTTGTGTCCATCATTGACATCCAGCCTCTTGATCATTTTCTTGAATTACTGTCATATAAAGTGATTGACAGGTTTGTATTAATTCCCAGTAATCATATTCACAAACTCTGCAATTTAAAAAGAACGATACTATTATTTGAAGAATCAACACGTCATTCCCGATTTCAGTTTGGTATGACATTTTAAGATACCTTTATCCTATGGCGTTTCAACTGACCGAGATAAGACATCGAATTGTTATACGAGATATATAACTGTGTCGCATATAGCATGGTGAAAATATGAAATGTAACATAGATATGAAATTTTATACCATTTCAATAATGAAGCGTAGTAACTTTCAATAATTACCAAATACAGAATTAACTGAGTGCCAAATACCTATACAGAGAGAGTTATGTTCGATGTACATACGTAGGACTATCAGTCTCGATGTTGTTAACATTGTTCTTATTTTGGAACGTGACATTAAATATTTGGAATGATATAAGATTTACATTACGGTGAAGCACATTTCTCGATCCCCTGATTTCCTACTTCGTTTTTTCTCCCTTTTTTTGTCATAATTTCAATTAATTGTAGTTTGAGTTCCATTTTTTTCAAGTCCATATATGGTGTTGATGATTAGAGCAATGAGGGCTTGTCGGACTCAGCACCAGATCTATGATCGATCTGGCAATCAAATTTGATGTTTTTATCCAGGATATCTTATCACTTACCACGGTAGTCGATTTTCCCATCACCGTCTGTATCTACCATTTTCATTACTTTTTCAATGTCTTCATTTGGGAACAATTCAAACAATTCATCTTCGTCCAAGTATCCATTTCCATCTTTATCGAAAACTTTGAAAGCTTGCATTAGCTCCTCAGTTTCATTTACAGCTGACAAACGCATTTTCACGAGGTGGGCGAACTCCTCAAATTCAATTTTACCGTTTCCTGGATAAATATATATAATAAACACAGTTACATCGAAAGAGCATGTCACTATATAAAAAATATGTCTTTGGTAATTATATTTATTTAACTAGGTAAATTGTGAACACCTGTACAAACAACATACAACTGATATAAACAACTTTCAACGACATGGACTAAGATACAGTATGGCCAAATAATGATTTGAAATCCTGGCCGAAATTAATATTGATTTTTTTCATAACTCTCGCTAAATATTTCTATTTATAACACATGACATGTTAATTAGGCAAATATCGGTTCACGAGCAGAACTACTACAATCTGGCTGACACTGGAAAACACTTTCCAATACATAGAAGCATATACAGTATCATGTCGCTGAGTTTAATACGTTGTAAATAACTTAGATGTGGCGAATACTTTATTTCGCGAATTTACCTCTTCAGACAAATTCGCGAATTCATGATTTCGCGAACTTACCTCTTCAGACATATTCGCGAATTCATGATTTCGCGAACTTACCTCTTCAGACAAATTCGAGAATTCATTATTTCGCGAACTTACCTCTTTAGACATATTCGCGAATTCATGATTTCGCGATCATACCTCTTCAGACATATTCGTGTATTCATGATTTCGCGAACTTACCTCTTTAGACATATTCGCGAATTCATGAGTTCGCGATCATACCTCTTCAGACATATTCGTGTATTCATGATTTTGCGAACTTACCTCTTCTGAAATATTCGCGAATTTATGATTTCGCAAATTTATCTCTTTAGACATATTCGCGAATTCATTATTTCGCGAACATACCTTTTCAGACATATTCGCGAATTTATGATTTCGCGTACTTACCCCTTCAGACATATTCGCGAATTCATTATTTCGCGAACATACCTCTTCAGATATATTCGCGAATTCATTATTTCGCGTACTTACCTCTTCAGACATATTCACGAATTCATTATTTCGCGTACTTACCTCTTCAGACATATTCGCGTATTCATGATTTTGCGAACTTACCTCTTCTGAAATATTCGCGAATTCATGATTTCGCAAACTTACCTCTTTAGACATATTCGCGAATTCATTATTTCGCGAACTTACCTCTTTAGACATATTCGTGTATTCATGATTTTGCGAACTTACCTCTTCTGAAATATTCGCGAATTTATGATTTCGCAAATTTATCTCTTTAGACATATTCGCGAATTCATTATTTCGCGAACATACCTTTTCAGACATATTCGCGAATTCATGATTTCGCGTACTTACCCCTTCAGACATATTCGCGAATTCATTATTTCGCGAACATACCTCTTCAGACATATTCGCGAATTCATTATTTCGCGTACTTACCTCTTCAGACATATTCACGAATTCATTATTTCGCGTACTTACCTCTTCAGACATATTCACGAATTCATTATTTCGCGTACTTACCTCTTCAGACATATTCACGAATTCATTATTTCGCGTACTTACCTCTTTAGACATATTCGCGAATTCATTATTTCGCGAACTTACCTCTTTAGACATATTCGGTGATCTAGAAATGACATTTAATTTGCTAATGATGAACTATAAGAAATATGAATTCCGATATTGGTAACCGCATCAGCATGGAGTTCATCAATAACTATTGATGTACAAATAATCGCGAAGGATTAGAAATCGCGATTAATTCTCCTCGCGTATTAACACGAAAATAATCCCACGCTAAATATATGTATTTTACAGTATATTGTTTCACATTTATAAACTTTTGTTTCTGGTTTCAGTGAACTTCGCATTTACCATCACGGTCGGCCACTTTTAACATTTCTTTAATTTCGTTTTCAGTCGGGTTCATATGGTAAGACCGAAGCACAAGAATAAGGTCTTTGCTTGGTATGGTACCGTCACCGTCTTTGTCAAAGCTGATGAAGATTTCTCTTAATTCTGTAACATAACAAAAAGATTAAATGTACGAAATCTACAACTGTTATCATATGTCACACTATTGTAAAATCTATTGTAATTGTATAAATGTGGAATCTAATAGTGTTGTCATATACATATATTGTAAAAAAAATGTGTTTTTATGAGGATTTTTTCGCCTTGTCTGCCAATCAGCACAATGAGGAAACACCAACATCCTGATTCCCTGATATTTCTGTATAATACCAACGTAAAAGTCATGTTTTAATTCTTCAGTTAACTTTGATAATTAGCAGATGGAATGCGGTAATATAATTTAAAACATTAACTATCAATGGTTCATACTTAAACAGTATAAAGGATTAGACATAGAGATCGTTTAAAAATTGCTAAATCTGAGATCTGTCTAGAAGCCAGAACTCGGTATATAATAAAACGAGATGGTGTTTAAAATATTTTATGTAGTTGTACTCAAATGTTGTCAAATGTAAATGCAACATAATCTTATTCTGACAGGACTGGTAACGTAAGTGTCCAGACACCTTCGTTGTAGCCAACGCTGTGTCCAATCATGCATGTGAAGTGTTAATATAAACATACATAGAATCCAAATCCAAGAAAATTGAAATTACTTCAAATTAATCGCCTCTCTTGGGCAGCCTTTTCCCCAAATAGAAAATGAACATCGTCGGTGTCTTTATCGTGCAAGACAACCCTGCATACCAGTTTTCATCAAAATTAGACGGTATCTAAATTTAGACCAATCAAAAGCCTTCTGTCTACGGCCATTTTGTAAAATCAAAAAATGAACTCAGCCATCGTGTTCTTGGCGTCAAACAATACTTTTATACCAACATCGTGAATTTTTTACCTATCAGAAGCCTCTATTTAACCGCCATTTTGCTGGCAATGTAATTTTCATTCCACCATCATTGAACATGCCGCCTATTTATCATTGTCACCAAGTCTCACCTTGGAGCGGTGAATATAACAAAAGCTATGGGTAAAAATGTATTATCCAATATGAAACCAGATAATGGCAGCTTTTTAAAAAAAATCGTCATGAGACATGCACGTAGCAAAATTAAGGTCGCTCACTAATACGCCTGTGGATATTGGCACCCCTCAAGTAGTTTCTGAGAGGGACGGGGAACATGTACAGGTGTAAAATCAATCAATTCCTCACTTCGTTTGGAGGGACTTGATCAATGAAAAAACAAAACACTTTCCAACTTAAAATGACTTAAATGAATGCTGTGACTCAATCCTCTATTTTGTATAAATAAACCTTAGGGGATGATTGACTTTCTGTAAAACAAATTTTCATGTATATGTTCCCGTTTGATTGATTATCGTTTTCACAACCAGAAATTATATTATTTTGGTTGTTTTAGCTCGTTAAAAAACATATTACAATTTACTCTACCTCTCTTGGTAACCCCAAAATTCACTTTCAGTCAGAAGTTTACCTTAGTTTTTCGTATTTTACAAAGTAAGCCGGTGAAAAACGAATATACCGCTTCACGAAACATGTCCTTTAGGATACTGGTTCTTCAGTTGGCCATTTGACATTTTCCCGACCACATCAAAAAACTGTTGTGCAGTGTCAACAAACGTAGAAATCAGAGATGATAACAATCTATAGAATGGAATTTGATAAAAACTATTTTTGACATTACACTTTCACCCATAAGTATAAAAATGTAGTTACGCTTCAATATTCAGTTACTACATGTTTATGAAAAGCAGTCTCTACGTTTAATATTCATATCTCACCTTTCAGTTGATTCTCTGAAAATCCGTCGAGTGTCTTTTTTTGGTGAGCCTGAAAATTAGACAAATACACTCGATTCTTACAGTACAAATTAAGTGTACATGTGTTAGGATAACATCCTTATGTTATATAACAAGGAAAACTACAAAAAATAATGATCCATTTCATTACTTCTGCAATATAACACCATATAGGATGTACATCAAATCTTGTAAAGTGTTATCAAGTCTTTCATAATGGAGAGTTTTAAAGTCACGTTTGCTCAAGAATGCAATGTAGATATAGTAAAATCTTTGCTCAATTTTTTATCGATAACACAATAGTCCATCTACATGATTTGAACCCAGTAACATATTGGGATTTGTTGTTTAAGTATGTCATTGTAAATGTTGTATTTCTCTAAGGAACAAAATTTCAACAATATCGGAATTTGTCTTACATATCAACGCTATTTCAAATCTGTCCTACCTCACACATCAACAGTCTGTCCTACATCACATATCAAGTCTGTCCTACCTCACATATCAACAATATTGTAAGTCTGTCCTACCTCACATATCAACAGTCTGTCTTACCTCACATATCAACAGTCTGTCCTACCTCACATATCAACAATATTGCAAGGCTGTCCTACCTCACATATCAACAGTCTGTCCTACCTCACATATCAACAATATTGTAAGTCTGTCCTACCTCACATATCAACAGTCTGTCCTACCTCACATATCAACAATATTGTAAGTCTATCCTACCTCACATATCAACAATATAGTAAGTCTGTCCTACCTCACATATCAACAGTCTGTCCTACCTCACATATCAACAGTATTGTAAGTCTGTCCTACCTCACATATCAACAGTCTGTCCTACCTCACATATCAACAATATTGTAAGTCTGTCATACCTCACATATCAACAATATTGTATGTCTGTCCTACCTCACATATCAACAATATTGTAAGTCTGTCCTACCTCACATATCAACAGTCTGTCCTACCTCACACATCAACAATATTGTAAGTCTGTCCTACCTCACATATCAACAATATTGTAAGTCTGTCATACCTCACATATCAACAATATTGTATGTCTGTCCTACCTCACATATCAACAATATTGTATGTATGTCCTACCTCACATATCAACAGTCTGTCCTACCTTACACATCAACAATATTGTAAGTCTGTCCTACCTCACATATCAACAGTCTGTACTGGCTGACCTATCAAACATATCAACAGTCTGTCCTACCTCACATATCAACAGTATAGTATGTCTGTCCTACCTCACATATCAACAGTCTGTCCTACCTCACACATCAACAATATTGTAAGTCTGTCCTACCTCACATATCAACAGTATAGTATGTCTGTCCTACCTCACATATCAACAGTCTGTCCTACCTCACATATCAACAATATAGTAAGTCTGTCCTACCTCACATATCAAATATCAACAGTCTGTCCTACCTCACATCAACAATATTGTAAGTCTGTCCTACCTCACATATCAACAGTATAGTATGTCTGTCCTACCTCACATATCAACAGTCTGTCCTACCTCACATATCAACAGTATAGTATGTCTGTCCTACCTCACATATCAACAGTCTGTCCTACCTCACATATCAACAATATTGTATGTCTGTCCTACCTCACATATCAACAGTATTGTAAGTCTGTCCTACCTCACATATCAACAGTCTGTCCTACCTCACATATCAACAGTATAGTATGTCTGTCCTACCTCACATATCAACAGTCTGTCCTACCTCACATATCAACAATATTGTAAGTCTGTCCTACCTCACATATCAACAGTCTGTCCTACCTCACATATCAACCGTCTGTCCTACCTCACATATCAACATGTCCTACCTCACATATCAACAATATTGCAAGTCTGTCCTACCTCACATATCAACAGTCTGTCCTACCTCACATACCAACAATATTGTAAGTCTGTCCTACCTCACATATCAACAGTCTGTACTACCTCACATATCAACTGTCTGTCCTACCTCACATATCAACAATATTGTCAGTCTGTCCTACCTCGCATATCAACAATATAGTAAGTCTGTCCTACCTCACATATCAACAATACAGTAAGACTGTCCTACCTCACATATTAACAATATTGTATGTCTGTCCTACCTCACATATCAACAATATTGTAAGTCTGTCCTACCTCACATATCAACAGTCTGTCCTACCTCACATATCAACAATATTGTAAGTCCTACCTCACATATCAACCTCTACCTCACATATCAACAATATTGTAAGTCTGTCATACCTCACATATCAACAATATTGTATGTCTGTCCTACCTCACATATCAACAATATTGTATGTATGTCCTACCTCACATATCAACAGTCTGTCCTACCTTACACATCAACAATATTGTAAGTCTGTCCTACTCCACATATCAACTGTCTGTTCTACCTCACATATCAACAATATTGTATGTCTGTCCTACCTCACATATCAACAGTCTGTCCTACCTCACATATCAACAGTCTGTCCTACCTCACATATCAACAGTCTGTCCTACCTCACATATCAACAGTATAGTATGTCTGTCCTACCTCACATATCAACAGTCTGTCCTACCTCACATATCAACAATATTGTAAGTCTATCCTACCTCACATATCAACAATATAGTAAGTCTGTCCTACCTTACCTATCAACAGTATAGTATGTCTTTCCTACCTCACATATCAACAGTCTGTCCTACCTCACATATCAACAGTCTGTCCTACCTCACATATCTGTCCTACCTCACATATCAACAGTCTGTCCTACCTAACATATCAACAATATTGTATGTCTGTCCTACCTCACATATCAACTGTCTGTCCTACCTCACATATGAATAGTATTGTAAATCTAACTTACCTCCCTTCTCAACATTATTGTGAATATATCCTAACAAAAAGTCAACAGTATTGTAAGTTAGTCTTACCTCACATATCTGCATTACTGTAAATTTTCAACATTATTGTGAATATATCCTAACAAAAAGTCAACAGTATTGTAAGTTAGTCTTACCTCACATATCTGCATTACTGTAAATTTTCTTATCTGACATATTAACATGAATGTAAATTTAACTTATATTTCAATAAAGCACTGACTGTTTTTACTCCTGACGATATATATTAACATGGTAAAAGTTTGACCGAAATCCCAAATCATGATTGGTTTGGTTTTATAAATTCAAATTAGAGAAGTTTGCA